GGAAGCCAAATGTATATAGTGTGAATGAGTCACAACTACTATACCAAAAATTATGACAACCACTAAATAATAAACAAGACAATGAGACAACAATAAAAGAACACCAGAATTTACGAGGTTCGGCCAATTTTGCCTACTTCCTCGGACACAATCAATATTTTATTCCACTCCAAAATTACAAGTGAAATAATACTAAAGAGAGAAGATACAAATGCCTTAAGAAGATAAAAAGGCAAATGAGAGGTGTGATTAAATCCTAAACATTAGGCCTCCTTTTATAGGGTGAAATTCCCATTCAAAATTGTCATCCACCGATGTAGGACTTTTGACAATTTCAACACATACAGCTTACATTTTTTAGATTCTAATTCACTATAAGTTATGTATGAAGTCCGCAGGCGCCAAAAATAAACAGTTGTTCTTCTTATGGTCAGAGCTAAACAGTATTTGTTTTTCCAGCTCTGATGAGTGTATGTATATAGATGCAATATAAAGTTTCATGAACTTACTTCAGAAGACATTAGTCATAAATATTCCAGCTCAGGCAAGATTTTCTAGTGTAAAGTGTTCTTTCTCATAATAACCATGTGATATTTGTAAATTTCTAGAGACAAGCAAACAAGATTAAGAAGAAAAAATAACAAGTAACATAATTACCCAATGTGATAACCAAATAGGAAATTGGACATAGAAGCAGTCAAAACATGTGGAAAGGCAGGTAACCATCCCAAATCCATTTCATCATTAGCAGCAGCAGAAATAACCTTTTCTTGTAACAACTCATTTTCATCATCTGAAAATAAAAACTTAAATTCAATTTTGAAAAAAAAAAAGACAAATAAATGAGAGAAGAGTGAGCAAAACCTCTATTTTCAGAATTTATTATATCTGGGGGTTGCTGTTTGTTAGCAGCAGTGATTTTTAGCTCTCTGGAAAATGAAAAAGAAGTAGAATGGGGACAAGGATACTGTGTATTAATTTTAGGAGAGTTGTAAAAGTAAGGTTTTGGATCGAAACGGGGTGTGTAGAAGCATTGAAAAGGGTGAACTGCTAATGCCCGCTGCATTGGATTGAAGTTTCTTGTTGTTTGCATTTTTGACAAAACGAGAAAGTATAATTGATCAATCAATCTGAAAAGATCTCTCGGGTCAGGTGGCACTAGCGGGTTTGGACCTGCGCTGGGACACGGATCTCCAGAACCCGATAAGGATCCGGGAAACCTGAAATTAGCCAATTCCACTTATAGCCTGATTGACCATTTTTTTTTTTCTTTCGCCAAAAGTGATATTTTTTCAAATTTAAGTTGTTTGGCAAAACTTTTAAAAGGAAAAAAATGTAATTGAATAAAAACAAAAGTAATTTTTGAAAAGCCGAAAAAAATAGTTTCGTTTTTTTGAAAAGCGCTTTTGAGAAAATATATTTAAAAAACACTTCTTAAAAGCTTGACCAAAATATAATTGGTGGTTAAAAAGTATTTTTTCAAATTGATTAGCCAAGCACAAATTGATTCTCACCAAAAGTACTTTCTTAAAAAGCACTTTTCAAAATAAGCTGATTTTAAAAGTGTGGCCAAATAGACTATTACCCTGCATAGGGCAAGTGCACAAATAGTCTATTTTGAAAACTCTAGCTAAAACATGGCCTAGATTTATAATTTTTTTGTAAGTTTAGTCACTTTAAGAACGAATTCAAACATAAAAGAAATAAAGTTTAATTATTATTATTGAACAACATATTAATTAGGTACCACCTATAAAATTTACCAACAATTTCAATACAGGAAAAAACAGTGCACATTTTTCATATGATTAAGAGATTTCTCTTATAGCATATTTGGCCAAACTTTTTCAAAGCCAAAAGTACTTTTTTTTTTTCAAAAAAAAAATAATACTTTTTTTTCAAGTTGAAGTGTTTGGCCAAGCTTTTAGAAGAAGAAAAAAAGTGCTTTTGAGTAGAAGCGGAAGCAGTTTTGGAGAATTAGAAAAAAGTAGCTTCTCTCTAAAAGCATTTTTTAAGAAAAATACACTTAGAATCAATTTTTAAAAGTTTGGCCAAACACTAATTGATGCTCAGAAGTACTTTTCAAATTAATTAGCCAAACACAATGTGCTTCTCACCAAAGTACTTTTGAGAAAAAAATACTTATCAAAATAAGCCAATTTTTGCAGCTTGGCCAAACAGGTTATTAGTCTATTTGGCCAAGCTTCTCCCAAATTCAAATGTACTCTTTCTTTTTTCTTCCTAAAAAGTACCTTTTTTCCTTAATTTAAGGTGTTTGGCTAAGCTTTTGGGGAAAAACAAAGTACTCTTGGGTAGAAGTAGAAGCAAATTTAACTTTTCTTCCTACAAAAAATGTCCTTAGCAAAATATTATATATACCAAAAGAACATTGCTTAGTTTAAACTATTAGATAATATATAATGACTTTTGGGATGAACTTTCATATTTGTTAAATTATTTTTTAATGTATTTAAATCATCTTGAAAGAATAAAATAATTTTCAATTTTATTTTTATGTTTTGCTTAAATAAAATAAAAAACTTAGTTATTGTCTTTAATTAAAAATGAAGTTATCCGGGACAGAGTGAGAGTAGCCTCCGTGGAGGACAAGATGCGGGAGTCGAGGCTAAGATGGTTCGAACATGTTAAGAGAAGAAGCATTGATGCTCATGTTAGGAGGTGTGAGAGGTTGCCATGACGACTTTGAGAAGAGGTCGAGGTAGGCCTAAGAAGTACTGGGGAGAGGTGACTAGACAGGACACTGCGCTGCTTCAGCTCACTGAGAACATGCCCCTTGATAGGAGAGTGTGGCGATCGAGGATTAGGGTAGAAGGTTAGTGGGTAGTTTTTTAGTTGCTCACCGATAGTCTTAGTAGCACGCATGTCCCTTCATATTCTTAGATTTTTATTGCGTTATGTGGTTTTGTTCGCCTCAAGTATTGTATTTTCTGTTGCTATTATTTGGTATTACTTATCCATTATCTCTCTCTTTTTCTTCTCTCTTTCTTCTCTCTTCCTTTCTTGCTTTTCTTCTTCTTCTCACCCTTTCCGAGTCGAGGGTCTATTGGAAACAGTCTCTCTACCTGCATTAGATAAGGGTAAGGTCTGCGTACATACTACCCTCTCCAGACCCCACCCGTTGGGAACATACTGAGTTTGTTATTGTTTATTGTCTTTAATAATGAATATTTGGAATTATTTATCTACTTATATAACACTAACTATTAAGTAAATCTCTCCATGTCCTTATTCGTAATTTGACACGTAAAAACACTTTTTGAAAATATTGGCCAAACACAAATTATTGTTCAAAAGTATTTTTTAAATTAATTAGCCAAAGACAAACTATTTTTTTTAAAATAAATAAAAATAAAATAGCCCTTTAAAAAAAATATTTGTCAAAATAAGCTGATTTTTCTAGTTTGGCCAAACAGACTGGTGAAAATATTTCCAAATACTTTTCAAATCATTTTTAAAAATTTTTATTTTATATTTCAAGTTGAAGTTGAAATAATAGACAAATTATAAAACTAAGTTGAAGTTGGGGAGGGAATCAAAGCTATCTTATTATTTTGATGTCGTTGTTGTTTTTCTCTCCAGCATTTCCAACAAAGAAACTTTACTACTGTTGGTTTTTTCGAACTTGTTTTGTTTTTTTAAGTGAGACGAGACTCTATCGAAAACAGTTTGTCTGTCTCATACAAGGTAAGAATAAGGTTCGCTTACACACTATCTTCCTTATAACCCTCGTGTGAGAATACATTGATAATATTATTGTTGTTGTAATATTAATTTACAAAAAATATTTTATTTTTAACAAAATAGCATCTACGTAGAACAAAATCAAACAGTGGATGCTGTAATGGTTTCCTAGAAAATTAGAAGAAGATGTCGGCACCTCAAGAATTCGGCCTAACTCCACCGTAAATCCAGGGGCCAGAAATCTTTCCTGTTTTCTAAGAAGGAAAAAAAAGAAGAGTGTTACTATTATACAGGGTAATGTGCGCGGTCCTACCCAAAGTGTTTTTTTTTTTTTTTTTTTTTTTTTTTTTGTTTTTTTTT